AATCAGTAGAAAGGTTTTTTCAAGTCTGTATTGGTAAAGGGAAGGGAAACTTAATTGAAAGACCGTTTTTACACAGGAGGAAAAAAATCATTGGCCTGAATTAGGAGAACTTCGGCCCTTAAATGAGAATTCAAAAAAAATCACGAAAAATTCAAGCTTTAGGATTTTTATTATGAAGACTAAACATGAACTTAATTTGGAGTTTGAGACAATATGACTACACATATGTGTTAGTTGAGACGGATCTCGGGATGTTCTAGGTGTTGAGTAACTCAGGCACTGTTTTAAGGCTAAACTAACAGTCATAATCACAATCATTACTCACCCTCAGAGGTGTTTGCCAAAGACATCAGATATTCCTGCGCCTTCACATTATCCTCGCATAATCCGAGTTTCATGTACAACGGAAGTCCTTGATTTTCTTTGATCGAACATTGTGCAATAAAAAGGCTCTCCTGTTGCTACCAAAAAAAAGTGTCCACTGTGGATGCTTCAATAACTGTCTTCATTAATCCCAGAAAATGGACGCTAAAGCACCTGAAATAAAAAGACAACGAAATTTTGTTGCAGGTAAAGTGAGGGAGTTTCAGCAAACATCCTAGCCTTACATGCCAGTGTAGAATAGGGAAGGGGGAGAAATTGTGTCTTTTGAGCTAATTCCATGAAGTATTATTCTTTCGCCTGCCTTGAATATGCTAAACAATTTACAGGATATAAGGTTCTAGATATTTCAACGGGGCAAAGTGCGGTAGGAGTGACTAATGTTGAACAACCCTTCTGACATCACTAGAGGTGGCGCGGGAACGTTAAATTTGGTGTCAGTGGTAAGCGACAAAAAGCGGAATAAAAAAAGTCATAGAAGAAAGATCACCTATGGGCTGTTGGTTTCGAAGGTACTCATAAAAGGAAGCCTTTTAATACCGTCTTGATTTTGCCAGTCTATTCACCCTCTTGTAATGAATTATGCCTATCTACAAATGAAGAACTGACTCAGAGGTACTGTAAACACCTCTTAAAGTTTTGCCTTGAACAGAGAACTAAATATCGTGTCTCAGAGACCTGATGCCCCTTCATTTGCTCTATTTTTCCACAGGCGTATTCAGTGATGGCGGCTAGTCAAAAATTTTCACTCAACGTGTAACATTACCCAGTTTTAAATAAAAGGGTCGAATTGAATGTAATATTTAAGATTAAGAATGGAGCCCATAAATGAGATAAAAGATAGCTATTCATTTGATTGCCTCTCTTGGCATTTTATGGCACTTATGTAAACGTTTGGGTTTAAAAAACTGAAAATCAAGGAGCATTTGCAATTTAACTATCAACTCAAGTCCAATTTTAAAAAAATTGAGTAGCGGAAACCATAAAAGTCTACACAAGTTAATACATTTTTCAAACGAACGTAGCTTTACTATTCAGTCTTTCCCACTTTTGGCATCGTTGTAGACGATATATCTGGTCACTCTCCTGCTTCTGGTATTATGAGTTGCTTGACGAATTTCGCCTAGTCTGCGTAGATTATCGTAGACGATTCGGGGCATTCGCAGTGAAGGATGAGTGCCACCTATTCCACCTATTCTAGTTCATCTGGTTTACTTCGCTGCAATTCCTTAACAGGACTAATGATATTTTGATTAAAAATTAGTCGAATGTTTTCAGTATTCTCATTTAAATTGTGCTGCAATTTTTTTCGAATCATTATCGAATAATAGGCAGAGCATGATATTAGGGCGGTTGCTAACAGAAAAAGCGGTTTTGGAGCCAACTTTATTGCGGGTCTCTCAAGACTTAGCTATCCTTCTTTGATTTACAATAATAGCGCAATTGTAGCTCATTTGGATCAGCTTTGCCAGTCCCTTCACCTCCGCAGCATAAAAGCCAGTCAATACCATGAAGATGATGCATAATCATGCACACTAATGAGGCATAATTTTGTCCAAAATATGTAAGTGCTTCTTATCAAGTGAAATAAGATTAACAGGCTTCTCTACCATAAATCTGAAAGTTTTGTGCTATTTCTGCTAAAGTTCCCATAAAACCTGTTTTAATAGATAGATATCTGCAAATTTTATAAAAGTCCCAGCCAGATGGAGGAAGGTAGAGAGACAAAGCATGCCACTGAGAGGCACTTAAAGAACGAATTTTCCTAATAAATTATCTGAGGATAGATGGCTCCTGGACATGAATGCACTTTTTTTCTGATTACAACGATTTACGTGCTGCTGTTGAAGACAATAGCTTAAGGCTAATGTGTCACCAAAATCAAGGGAGAAACGCTAGTGGTGAATCCCTAACTGGAAACTGGGATCCGCCCTATATACGGCAACAAAAGAAAAAGGAGTCTCAAGGGCAGCCAACTTTTATCAGCCTTTTCACGCGGGTCGTAACATTGTATCACGCACTTCAGATTGTTGAATTGCTGACTGTCTTGCACTGAGAAACGGCTTTTGCGAAGTTTATTAGGTGATTGATAATGTCATCATTCACCCCTAAATTGCACCCAATTCTACGATTTTACTTCATCCTCAGGCTATCATAAAGTTCTTGCCTAAGATACCAACCCACGCAAAAAGACACATAGCGATACTCTGCGTGACCAATGGGCAAATAGGGACTAAATTTCTTTGTTTATGCCTAAAAAAAAACAAATTAAGATCGCAAAATGTCGCTAAATTTGGACGTAAGAAGACCACACCCCATAGCTTAGAATATGAAGTGGGGAACATTGGGAAAAGAAATGAAGGAAGGGAGAGATAGTCCTTACAACACTTCTCTCCTCCCTAATTCCTTGTATTTTTTCCACGGGGTAATCATCACTTTTACGACATTGGGCAATGATAAGCGAAATAAAGCAAACTATCGGGAAAAAATCTGCAATAAAGTAGAAGGAGCTACTATGACCAGATGTTTTGTCTCCAGAGGGTCAACACTTTTTGTAAAGAAAAAAGTGGAATTTGCAAATTGCATCATTGTTACAAAGGGAAATATAGTATATAACATGATTTTAACGGAGCTTTCAGTAATTACTTGTATTTTAATTCCTTAAAATAGTCGGACCATATTTGGTTGCCAGACAATATTTGTAGATAATTGCTTAAGTTAAGAGTACAAAGTTTTATAAATAATAAAAGAACTTGATAACGCACTTTTAATGCGACCTACAAATGCGCAGTCCGCCTACGTAAGAGCATTGTAGAGCTTTATTAGGAATCCTTTTCTTCCTATTCCATTCTGTTTTTTGAAATAAAGCGTCATGTTAAAATCTTTTCATCTAGATTATAATTTACTAATGCACAAATTAGAGGTTGATGGGTAAACTGCGGCCTAGCGTGTTGTTCAGCTGTGCGATTGACTATGCAACTGCTTTGGTCTCCGCAGGTTGTAAGTCCGCATTGCGTCATGGCTTTCGGACCATGCCATTAGCCGCCCAGCCACTGTCTACTCCTTTGGCTCATCATAATTTTGGCGGAGGCATAATTTTTGTGTCCACAGGCTACTGAATAATCCTCTTCCGATAACTGTGCTGTACAACAGAACCAGCATTATATTAGTGTCTAGACTAGTAGAATCGCTTCCACCTCCTATGTCCGAGCTTTCCTTAGCTCTTTCTTCCGAAAAATTCATTATTTTTCCCCCTGACAATTTCTATAACAGACTTCATTCAAACTCTATGGCTCATTGTTAAATTCGCTTTTAAAGTAAGACAAGAAATTGGCCTGATAACTGCAAGATTCTTACATGTACAAAAATTATGCAGGATAATTTTGCTTTATTTTGAAATGTTTTTAGAATGCTTTGAAAAATGTCGCCAGCTTTTTATAATATACACATAATAATGATAGTCCACGCGTTGCGTAATCACTTTCTAAAATGTGCCCCTTATAAGGAAAAGTAGAAAATGAAGATTTTATTTTGTTTGTCAGCCTCATGAATCATTATTTTAAATGATTTTGCCACTTAAGAAAGTGGAATCAAAACACAAACATCAAATTTACTTGTGTAAATAAACTTTTGTCCGTTTTGATCATGAATTGTTTTCAAAAGGAAAATTGGCCATGTTTCAAATGATCACAAATTTTAGTCTTTACTTACCCTTTAGGTAATATTTTGGAATAGATTATTGTTATTGGCAATTTATTAGACTGGATGTGTCTTCCTACGCGGGCACAGTGGTCTCCATTCCCCCTCCACGGCATAGGCATTGGGTTATCTTAGCAGACTTTAAGCTGGTCTGTATTTGGGAATGAGTATGTTCTTCCTTACTACTTTGTTGAGTATCGCTTGGTCTTAAAAAGCATGCGGTTCATGAATTCCTACTTCCCCAACACGATTTACAATTGGGACTAACCTCCAGACATGGTGAGATTACCGAAAATTGTGATGATTGACTTGGGGGTTTGACTAAGGGGAGCACCAAGGAAGACGCTAAAACAAAGAATGAGGCCATGCAGTCAGCTAACTTTGTTTAGCCATGTAAGTGCTTCAGCCCCCCCAGATTGTACGTCCGCTACGTGGTATGACGTTCGGACCATGTTGACAGCCTCTGAGCACCTCTGCACCTCAGTAAATAGCATGTTTTGCCATGCTACTCCGGCTTATTACGACTTTGGGGAAGATTCGGGACGCTATAATCTATCCCGGGGATGTTTTGCAAAAAAATATTGGCTCCATTACTTTGATTTGACATTTTGGCTTTGTGATTAGCACACTCATTAATTGAATCAATTTTCCTTATTATCACTTTTAGCGTATCTAAGAAGGCTGCATTCGAAGGACAATTATTGTGGCCGCGTTGGTTCTATAGAGCTCTGAGTATTTGCTTAGCGTTCCGAGTCCTCGCTGAGGTCGTAATAAGTCAAAACTATAATAGAGGAACATACTACATGCTAACAAATGAGTAACGAGCTGGGAGGCCACTAGCGGTGCTGAGGTACAAGCTGAGGAGGCTTATTTGCCTATGCAGGTGTACACACAGTTAAGCACTCTCAAATTTCAGCCCTTAATATTTTAAAAAGGGGCTTGTGTCAAAAATGAATGGGCTGATTTTCGTTCATTAATATCCAAGATTGACACCCTTTTAGTTATTAAAAAAGGTAAACCTTCGAGCTCCGCATCGCTAAGAAATATATTATCTAAGCTGTGGATGCCATCGCAATGCCATATAGGTAATATGTAAATTGAATAGAACTTGTTTTGGTGGTCTTCGTCATGTCACATGCATTTAAGTGTTTACATAAATGCTATAGAAGATGAGATATGCGTCCATTTATCGGTTCTTAATAACGATCTCCAATTTTGCCTAATTCTCAGGAATTACATCTACGACCTGTATTTATCGCTGCTACAAGCCTAGTGTAATTTGGTTCCAAAGGTGGGTTCTTCAGGGTCACCCCTTGGCAGAGCTTATTGCCCACAAATAGTCTGAAAAGTGGTGTCACGTCCAAGAAGAAAGTCCGTTAATGGTAATGAAATATTGTGCATTAAAGCCGACCAAAGTAACTTAAGATTAGCATGCCAGGAACAGCTTCTATTACGTCCAACGTTACACGATTGGCAAAACAAGCGGTTTGCATGAAATTCAAATGGGAAAAAAGTAGTAGAAGTTACCTAGGAAAGAAATCATTCCACTTATTAAGGATTGCAAATTTACCCTTTACTACTCATAAAGCATATCTTCCATTTTTGCTTCTAATTCAGTGACACACAGACTACCTGGCTTGTGATGAAAAATAGCTTTGAAATTGCAGTGTTTGCCAAGCAAGCACAGATATCATTGGCATATTCCCAAAGAGCCATAGGGATATACTACACTTACGCTGTGTAGGCAAGACAGATTGCAGACTAATTTATGCGCTGCAAACTTCATGCAGAATGCTAAATTTTGTCGGGTTGTTGGATGATTCGCAATAAGGTCCCATGCGTTTTAAGGGAATATCCAAGACTTCATAAATCATTGCTGCAAAATTTGCCCTTGAGACCACCCCATACCTTACATAGAATATGATACGGTACTGTTTCATCCTCCCCTTTCTAATCCCCTGTTTTTTAGTTTTTCTGGGAATAATCACCCCGGCTTTGTATCAGTTAATCCCATGCACATTAGAATAGTCATTTGGAAATAAGGGTGTGAGCAAAGAGTGGGTGGCTTGGACGTGGTTCATTTAGTCTAAAATGGTGTTTTTATAGGAAAATTTTGTGCAAATAAGATGTTTTAAGAACCATTTCAGTTGTCTTATGCCTTTTTGTAAAGTATTTGGTTACCTTATAATACCATTTATGCACGCATTACCTGTCACACACGTGCGAAGTTTTGGAGGATCGGCGTAGGCTGTATATAACATGTTCGAAGAGGATATATTTCGGCAGATAAGACATCTTCATTAAGAAAAAACTTTCCAAATTCCCCTATTCTTATGAAGAAGTGGCAGCACACTGAGAACAGAACACTTTGGTGACCAGAGCGCGGCGGCGTTGGTGAAGTAAAGTGGGTGACGACACTACCATCCATTGCCCCTTTCCACATTGAGTAGTTAATTTAAGCAGAATAGGGTAAAGATTGTAAATATTCGAAAAATTTTCTTATTTAACAAGGCATCCTTTCTCAATATCTTAAACTAGTCGCCTCATCACATCTCCCTTTTCCCACCAAGATGAAGTGAGCTGCAAAACCTTTTGAAACTTAAGTTTTCCAAACAGTTTTGCATTCTTATTAGAGGTTTATTTTAGGGAAATGAACAACTAACTGTCTCCTACAAAAGTAGAGAAAATTAATTCTATTAAGACCTTCCTGACCAGCAGACTGATGGCGTAGGTAGAATTAGAAGACATTCATGAAATTATTATGGCTGCTAACTCATAAAAGTAAGAGCACCCACAAAATTTCATGGAGGATTCCCAGTTTTAAAAAAAATTCCCAATTATTTGGCTAAAATAGCACTTTAAAATATTACCACTGACTTTAAAATGTTTCGTTTTATTTCTTTTTTACCTGAGTGGTTAAAACATCTTTGATAATATTTACGCAGAGAAAGACTTCAACCTAAAAATGCTACAGTTTGTTTCGAATGTCATAACATCGCGTAAATTTTTGCAATTTAATTTTGAACCCTTTTTATGCCTTCTTTATAACGCATCCTCCATGTTTTACTCATTTCTTATTGGCTATGTCCAGACAGTTGTCTGATGTAGCGGCGAAGCTCGTCTGAACTCAGAGGGTAGACTTTATGCTGCTCAAGAAATTAACAAAGCCCTCCATATTACAAATTCACGGTAAAAAACCTCTTCAAATGCAAATAGTACGCATTTCCGCTTACGCTATTTTCGCCTAGGTCTTTTCCCCTCCCTGTTATGCAACGATAGATGACTCAGGGTGCCCACAAAAATTTTCTTCACGTCCTATCAAAGGTCAGGGCTTTGTGCATCCTTTCCCCAAACTTCGGAGGGACTTTCATAAGCAATGACTTCATTTTTAACTGCATCCTCTCAATTAAATAAACCTTCGAGAAAATGAAATGTACAGGAGTAAATTCCTTGCTCTTGTTGTTGTTGGGGTAGGAGGAAGAGAAGAGACATGCTAAAATAAATCACTTCTATTTTATATGAAGTGGAAGACCGCGACCTTCCCGCGTCACCGAAGTATGTCATCCTCCATGATATAATTGATGTTAATTAGAGGTTGGGAAGTAATTATGAGAGGACAATTTCTAGCTGATATATTTCGAAGCCAACTATTATTATTTTGAAAGGTGTTAATTAAATAGCTTGTTTAAAAATCCACTCATTGTAGTGGCGGAATTTCAAATTCGTGTGTATTGGTGGAAAGCGAAATCAACTCCTAGAAATATGATCCTCTCTCTAATAAGAGAACTTCTGCCTAAACAACTTTGCTTTCACATAAATTATTTAAGAAATGTTTCTTAATAATTGAAAATATTTGCCCCTGTATTTGTAAACGATTCGACTTTCTTCTAAATTAACTTTCTCCTTGACCTCTAAAATAAGTTGAATGTTTCTTCTGCTTGTAAGGGCACTACACATGGCTAAGAACCAAAAAGGTGTCCTTTCCACTGATAAGCCCCGAGTCTTCCCCAATGCCGTGACAAGCTAAAGTACTGTGGACGAAAATACTATTTCATAACGTGTAGAAGAACTGGAAGGCTACCAGCAGAGCTAGAAGACGAAGATTACCCCACAGAGGGGAAAACAACCTGTGGTGAGGCATAGGTGATGATGTCAAAATTAGCCCACATTATTGAACAGCAAACTCTATTAACAACTCAATCTAAGAGTATTTTATCCGTACTCTTGGGTTCATTTTGTAAAAAAAAAATAAATACATAAATATATATATATATAATATGTACAATATTCTTCTAACATTCGTTCGTCTAGTACTACATACCATTCACTTACATCCATGATTCAGCTTGACACAGAGATGTTATTCGCCGAAGCAAACACTGAGGCCCTTATTTTGTAACACAAAATAAGCCACTTTTTTAATTTGTTATGTAATTTTGAAGAAATTGTTTGGCTATTGTACTTCCACATAGGTTGAACAAATATCTACTGTCCATTTAAGCCTAATTCGCAAAGCAGAGAGATCTGTATCATTGGCTGGAAAAAAAACTGATAGTTTCTGTCGGCAAATATTTTTCTCTCAGCACTTCAGAGAAAATTTACTTTTGGTGTCTATTATTTTAAACATAAGGTAGGGGAACAAAGCATTGGGTTTTTTTACTTTAGTGCCAAAAATGGTAAGAGAAAACCGGTTTTGAGTGATAATAGCATGAGCGAAGAGCACCAACTATGAAATGATTTAAGCAAAGTGGATATACAAAGGGTGAAAGATGCACACCATACCCTAAGAATTCAAGTAAGTAGACACTGTATCCCAAGAAACTGTCCTACTTCTTTAAAATATGCAAATATCTTGCTGATCAAACTCACTAGAAAAGAAAGCGATCGTGGCATATCATAAGACAGCGAATAAAGTTAGTATAATAATATTCCTCATTTGTTAGCCACTTCTACATGACGTCTGGAAGAAGTCACTAATAGACAAATGTATAGTTAAGCTATGGGATTTGCCTGGTGCTTGCCAATATTTTTTGATGCCATCACTGCGGTATCATTAAATAAGGGGCTTGAGACAGTCAACTGTTTCTTTTGTAGGCGCCCATATTCTTTGCCACCTTTTCCTCCTGGCAAAGTAACAAATGTTTACCGATGATAAATTCTTATGCATAAATTTTATTTTCAATGGGGATTATCTTTGTGCCATATTATGTATGTCAGAAAAGAGATGTAAATATATTGTACCTCTGTTATAAACCAAAATACTTTATTAAGTCATACTACTTACTAATGCGTAAGTAAGGAGCTAGTGTGCTACCATCGTGGCGAGAAGGCCACGTAGCGGTGCATCAGTACAAATTGAGGAGACCAATTTGTCTGGGCACCTCGAAAGATAATCGGAAAATTCCTAGAATTGACTGAAATTACAAAAAAATGCTTCTAATTTTCAAGAAAATTCGTATTCAGAGCTAAATTATAAACATTTTGGATCGTTGAGCTCCCATTCAGTACATTCAGAGTGGCTAATCACCTATTTAAACTAAAAGCTACACAAATATCATAGTTATGCTCTGTCAAAACCTACCTGGATCTCTACTTAGCAGTCACGTGCGCACACTACGCACCCCCCACTTACACCTGTTTCATTATGAAGGCATCCTCATTTTGCTCTTGCTCACTAATTTTTCTTCAGTTAGAAATCTAGACAGGATCTACGATAGCCCGTAAAAGCAAAATTCAGTACGCAACCAAAATGTGGAATCCTGTGCAACACAAATTGCTTTTAAATTTCAAACCATTTATGCCACGCGAAGGTTGAGCAATAACTGTTAATTTTTATAAAATACTCTATCTTACATTAGGCTAAATGCAACTCTCACTGTTCCTTGTTAAGGCTTATAATTTAGACTAGTTACTTTAAAGGAGCTATTCATTTAGTTGACCAAAGTCTGCCTCGCATTAATATTGCCTACTCGTTTTCTTCAATTAAGGCCATTTGTCTTGTCTACTGCTCAACCTTCGCGTGACATAAATGGTTGGACTTTTAAACGCAATTTGTTTTGCACAGGATCCCACATTTTGGATGCGTACTGACTTTTGCTTTTACGGGCCATCTTAGATCCTGTCTAGATTTCTAACTGAAGAAAAATTAGTGAGCAAGAGCAAAATGAGGATGCCTTCATAATGAAACAGGTGTAAGTGGGGGGTGCGTAGTGTGCGCACGTGACTGCTAAGTAGGGATCCCGGTAGGTTTTGACAGAGCATAACTATGATATTTGTGTAGCTTTTAGTTTAAATAGGTGATTAGCCACTCTGAGGGTACTAAATGGAAGCTCAACGATCCAAAACGTTTGTAATTCAGCTCTGAATACGAACTTTCCGGACAAATAAAAGCATTTCTTTTTTGAAAATTAACAGTTATTGCTCAATAAAGAATTAAATGCAAAGAATTTATATAAACTATTAAACTACATGTAAGCTTTATTCAGTATCATTATGGCTAAGCCTGCTTTATACAATTGTATCGCCTGTAGCACAATCTGATTTATAACATTCAGCTCTTCTTTGTTTAAGACTAGGATGCATAAATTTTAAAAATCTTCAGTAATTGTATATAATCTGTCTTATAACTTAAGGCAGTTAAAATACTGTCAGTTTTGCCGTATTTATTGCTTTGGTTTGGCGGTTGGGAATAGCAACACAGTTGATTTTGGCTTCTACGATGAGTCAGTAAATAGAAACAACGTACCAAAATAACTGCAACGCCTCGAGTCCTCTCCAGGGTCGTAGGCGGTTAAAGCAGTGCGAAATAACATGCTACTTACTACAATAAAGAGGAGCTGTGGAGGCAATTACCATACACCAAGGGCCATGTCACAGTAGGGTCCACAATCTTTGCGGACACAAATGCCCTCAAAGTTAAACAAACCACTAGACCACAAAATAATTACTTTGTGAATAAGGCGGTTTTGAGTGTTCTCTGACAATCTGCACTGAATTTGCGTCGACATTATCGAAATCGGTGACAAGCATTTCCAAGCCTCATAGTCATACCATATTCTAAAGCCAATTCTTCCTGATAATGGCATGATTCTGCAAGAACAAAGAAAGAACGGTAGTTGTGATCACGTAACTTGATCTGCCAGTTACCCACTTTTATGGGAAGCATTCTCTTGAGACACCCTTCTCTCTTCCCCTCCCCTCCCCTAACCCTCTATTTTGATGACTGACGCATTCTTGTCGACTTCATCGTTTGTCTGTTTATTTTTATTTTTTTAAAAAGCACCTCTATGTGACAAAAATTGCATGAGTTGACTGGAAGTGGAGTACAGAGCTATCAAGTCAGCCCCTCAAAATAATTGGTTTTAACTTGGAGCGTTGGTCTACCGTGTCGTAGCGTTGGACTAGAAAATGGATGCAATGTAAGCTTATCTGCTTTCCGGATCGAGCTTAACTGAGCTCCAAAGCCATAGGTGGTGGAGGACCAATCGGAGTGTTTACAATAGGAAAATCGACCCAGAAACCAGGTAAGTACCTTGACTTTCGACCAGTCACACAAGGATAACGGCATCACCTAGAGGAAAGTGCAGGAGGTTCGAGAATGAGAAAGTGCGCATCACTGTTTGCCACGAAAAACCGCTGTTTAGGCCCGAGAGCATCCCTCAGTCACGGTTAATGTGAACAGCAACAAAGAAGTAAGCTGCAGAGATAAATTCCTTGACAGCTAAGCAAATGGACCTCACCGACATATTCTAATAAGCAAGCCTAGGCTTCGACATTATCCAAATGTGTCCTGCACTTAAGACTACATGCCAACCGACTGTCTAGTTTAGATAAAAGTGGTTTTTATAGCATATTTCGTTCATCGAGCAAGGGGTATCAGTTGGCATCCTCCAACAATAGTTCTAAAGCACCGTCTCATACCAAGTAGGCTATGCCTGCTTTGGCGTAGATGTGGTGACTTGCGAAGGCTTAAGTGTAGGCAAAAGGGGATGTCCTCAGGTGATGATTGGCATTTTTTCTTGACCTTTGACAATCACAGGCAAAATGGACAAATCGGTGATAAAAACACATTCATTTGCAAAGGCTACTCATTTCCTCAAGGACACAGTAGCGTGCAAGTATGAAAGTCACAATCTCGTGTCGCATCGCGAAAGACTTAGGAATGGTGATGTTAATTTATTTGAATAGATATTTCTTTTCAATGCATTCAAGCATTGCAGTGTAAGTGGAATCACAGAGATGAAGCGACTTCAGCAGAAATGAATTGCATCGCAGCAGACTTCAATCAATGCACTGAGCAGAATTTTTGGTTAAAGCAGTTGATAAAGGAAGGACATGAGGCTGGCAATTGAGAGAACACATGGATTTGGAACCACGCATGCTGTTGCAAGGGTTGATGGAAGTGTCAACTGCTCACAATATTGCGTTATCATAGCCACAGCAATCAGATGCGCCAAACACACAAATGCATCCGACCAGCAACCTCGCGTGTTCTGATGGCTAGTGGATAAGACCTACACGCCAAGATTGTCCAACTGCTGTGTCGTGCGCTATCAGATGCGGTAAGCAGGCAAATGCTTCCGTTTTACAACTTTGCTCATTTGTCGACCAGCTAAAGAAACATTACTGTGAAGTGGGTGAGTTATCCAGTCGGCATTTTGCATGTGACAACGAAGTAGTGCCGTTGAATGGAGTATGTCGTGACACTTTTAAGGAGACCGAGGTCACTCCTTTTGATGCTACAAAACCGAAACACTGAAAACCGTTATCCTTTTTACCCATTCATGTTAACACCTGTCATAATATGCTGCTCCAAGCGTTTTAGAAGGCACAAAAGTCATTGTATTCAGCCTTTATAGTGAAAAAGCAAATGAGTTCATACAGCCCCATAGTAGTTAATCATTCTTCCCTCTTAAGAAGAATGGTGGCTTTGTATAACTTTGCGTCTCTAGAAAAGCAAGAAAGCACAAGGCACCCACTACTTGGTCTCAATCTTGAGTTACGAGATATGAGGCCCTGCATAGGTGACATCGCATTCTGACTGACTGATTACTCCTAACTGTGTGTAAACTGGAAACATTCCTTGCACATCATGGGAGTATGTCCATCCGTCTTGAATGGATAGGTCTATGTAGTGACCGTTGTCTGCCGCCCAGGAAATGATCCATTTCTGGTGTCTAGTCACTCCAGCAGTCCCCTCATTGAGGCTTCCTGTGGAGAAACAGAAAGCATTCCTCCGCAGAATTCAGACAGCTTAAGCCTAAGTTCTCTAATGTCTTTACAACGCAGGTGAGCAAAGCCTGGTATCATCTAATATGTGACAAGCGGGAACCTCAGCTTAACCTCCCCTCCTAATTCACATCACGTCAAATATGACAGAATGTTGTTTTTGGTACACTAGCATCGCACATCGCTTTAGGCTGAGGATTACCAGCTCCACTTAACAATGCTTAGGCTAAACTAACAGACTTCACTGTAGGAAGTACACTTCTCAAACAACCCGTAGACGGTGCCCTGTGTCACTGGATTGTCTCCAAATGCGTTTACAGCAAATGGTGAGGACCTCATGCGGAATTGATTTAAACTCACTTCATGATGGAACTAACTCGAGCCACTCCCACCAGATTAAACCGACATTCCTGAGAGGGAGATAGGGACGACTGGTGGCACTGATGCATTTCGATTCTTTAAGCCGCATGCTCTCTACAAAACCCATTGGGTTGCATCAAGTCAATGAAGTGGGTTAAGCAGTAAGTAAGGAGTGGAAGTAGTTTTATGTACGTGCAATAATTTTGCCATAAAATAGGACTAGAATGGCACACGTTGTATGTCAGTGAGACAATGCTCGGTGGGATGCGGCTCCTACCCACCCAGTTCTGCCCACCATCAATAAGTGTTAAGTATCACCCCATTGTTTTTACTACTTTCCATTACAGTGCAATACTTAAGTGGATGGGACGCAGGTAAAGTACTTTTTACCTGTGCATTTATTAGTAGTCTTTTTGTTACCTTCAATTGTCCATCAATTAAGCAGATAAAAGGCGATTTTGGCAAA